GTTGCTGTTTCCCAGTGCCATTTCATGGACAAAACTGCCTGGGAATGGCCGTGGCGTAAATGTCACATGCGCGCAGGAGAAGTGCCGTGAAGAATACACCTCTTGCACCAAGGACAAATTATGTGAAGATGCCATATTTACCTGTTTTTGTAACAAGAACGTTTCTGATTGTATGTATGATGCACGGTGGGACTTGAGATGCTTTCAGTACTATAATACCGACGTTTTGTACCGCCTGGTGGCATGTGCTGTGACAAGGGGAGGTTGCGTCACACCCAACCCACCGATGCCCGAATACAAGTGCAAGAAACCTACCAATCTGTACCCGAAATTTGACATTCGAACGCTCGCTGACACTTGGTTCGTATACCGCGGCTATAATCCCGGGCAGTATTATGTCCCTGTACCTCCGGTCGACTGCTACGACTGTCAGAGCTACACGTTCAGCGACGACCTTGACAATACAACAGCATGCCAGGGTAAGAAGCAGTACAGTGTCAACATCAGAGCAGACCTGCAGCGTAACTTCACCTACAAATCCTTATTCGTCGTTAAATCTGCGACAGGGAATATCATCCAAAGCACTGGGACTGAATTTGGACTTTTTCGCTCCGACGAGTTTCGTATTTTGGACTACTACTACTGGGGATCGGCGACGGGTTATGTCTTGGCTTATTATTGCGGGACCTTTGGCTTCTGGCCAACTGAGGGAGTGATTATGCTAATCAGACCTTGGCTCTTCCACCTGCCTCCCGACGTAATCAAGAGAGCAGAGCAAGTCATAACAAGTAATGGATTTGACTTGAATGAATTCTGCACTCCCAACAACAAGCCGTATGCTACATGCTACAGGACATAATATGTTTTTGTTGTATTGTTCACTGGAGATCTACAGTTGTTGAAAGAAAAGAATATAACGTACAGACAAGAGGGTGACCCGTTAAATGAACGTTCATTGAGGAATAATGATTTTTTATAATAATTAAATACCGTATAATATAATATTTTCATATCGTGTCTGTATTTTGGCAAAGTTTGAGTGAGGGTCACCCGCATCACTACTCCCGAACATCGTTACTTCTCTGTATCAATATGATGTCACCTGCATTGAAACACCCCCTTAGAGTCATTCCCTCCTGGTTTTGAATAACGATGTGATAACGATCACTATAGAGAAACTATGGGCAGCAATTATTCGCCAAATCCTATTGTAGACCAATCTCCGAGAAACCCACCCTGAGCTTCAGAGATAACTTGACACTAACCTCTTCACTATAGCCTATCTTCATCGTGTCAAGTTACCTCTGACCACATTCGATTGCCTCCGCCGCCCGCCAATCAAATTTAAAGCCCGCACTCAATGACTCATTGAACGATCTAGCCAATGAACGCGAACGAGTCAAATCGCGCTTTGTTCAAATCCGGACCAATCAAAGATAAGGCTGAATATCAGGGACTTGCCGTAACCTGTGGGCAGCACGCAAAATACATCATCCCTCAGTAGATAATTATGCAGGGCATCAAACTGCTCTGGTTTCAATTCCGATATACTCCATGCTTTCTTTGTGTACGGTTATGCACTCGGAACTACTCGGATGTCTCCGCACTCGACAATAACTATGTTGTTAGTATGGAGCTTGCGGAATCAGCCGAGGATTGCCGATTGACGGTCAACCAATCAGCGTTTTCACCAAACTTTGGTGAAAAATTTTGAAACATGGATTCGATTGGCTTATATAAACTAGGTCAAACTATTTTCGTCAGAGGTAACTTGACACGATGAAGATAGGCTATAGTGAAGAGGTTAGTGTCAAGTTATCTCTGAAGCTCAGGGTGGAGAAACCAGTCAGAAGGAGTAGCATGCCACAAGAGAGGAATAATGTTTTTTTAAATAATGATTAATAATAATATTATATTTTCATATCGTCTCTGTATTTTGGCATAGTTTGAGTGAATGTCACCTATAATGTCGCCGCACCGCTACTCACAAACATCGTTACTTCTCTGTATCAATTTTACCCAGCGGAAATTATGATATCAACTGCATCGAAACACCCGCTCAGTGTTATTCCCAAATGTTTTTTAAATAACAATTTATGAAAATATTCTCACTATAGAGAAACTATGGTCAACAATTACTCGCCAACTCCAATTCCAGAACAATCTCTGAGGAACCAATCAGAAGGGGTGGGGTGCTACATGTACAAAAGAACCCTGGTAGCAGCAAGAAGAGGTCACACTCGCTACTGCCCCCGTATGTAACTAGAAGTAGATATGGTTGTCACGTTTGAGGTGTGTCACTCTCTAACACTTAAATATGGAGACCTATATGTATATGTTTATTAATCAAAATCATAAGTGTAATTTCTGCAATGCTTGACTGAAGAATTAGGTACAGAAATGATGACACAATAACACTGAATAAATTATGTTATTTAAGCGGGATTTGTTTTTACTTCTTACATATAAAAATATGAAATAAATTGACCTGTAATAAATGTCAACTCTGCTGCCTCTGCATTTAGCGGATGCAAAACATGTCTCTAAATGTGTTAAAAAGGCCGTATTTACTGCAACTTACAATAATGCAAATCTCCATATCAAAAGCAATATAATATAATATAATATAATATAATATAATATAATATAATATAATATAATATGTAACATTTGAATGGAGATTATCAGAGATAAGACATATGAGATGTGAAACTAGAAAACGTACGAGAATCCGCGTCAGGTGGGGTTAACGTTTCTAGCGATATGGGTGAAATTGTATGCGTGCAAAAAGTGACACCCAAATCATGATAAATCCGTACTGTTTGCACTAATACATTGTAATTCTACAGAACATGTGAGAAAACAAACATGTATTAATTCTGTCAGCTTACAGGGTTGCTACTTAATATGGAATATTTTTTATCATTGTTATTTTTGAGTGCTGATTAAATTTTTTTGGCTTGAGTCATTAAAAACATCCAGTCTTCTTTTGTGAGATATTTTGGTCAATGATGACAAAACTGATATAAGATGCCATTCAAAAGAAAGGAACACCCCCTGAAAACCATATCAACAGTTTGATGTCAGTATTAACTTTAAGCTAAGATATTAAAGAAAATGATAGCCTCCGGACAGTGATATGTTACACAGTCAAAGAACTCACTACAGTAAATCATGAAAAGTCAGTAATTGCGGGTATGACCTCCAGCAGCCGCTTGCAGCGCCCTCATCCTACATGAGTTTGGGTGGGGATATCATTCAACGCAGTGATATTTGCCTGTCGCAGTTCATCACTACTTACCGGCCGGTGACCATAGCTATTAATTCTGTGAGTTACTTCCGCCCACAGATTTTCAATTGCTTTCATATCTGGGGAGATTGCAGGCCAGGGCAGTTTCTGAACCCATTGGTTTTGAAGAAAAACAGTGATTCTGCGGCCTCGATGTGGGGTTGCGCATTCGTCTTGTTACACAAAGTTGTTCCTGAAGATGACTCTTACCAATCGAAGCATTGTTTGCTGTAGAATGTCTCTGTAGGAATCCTGGATGAGGTTGCCTCCTAGAAAAACCAACTGGTTCTGGGCACCGACATGAAATGCTCCCCAAACAGAGACGTTACCATCCCCTGCTTGCACCCTAGGCAGTACACAATCGTCGTTTTATGCCCCTCGTACACGTCGGTGGACACGGATTCGACCATCAACCCTAAAAAATCCATATCTGGCCTCATCACTGAAAACGACCTGATTCCAGTGTTTTGGCTGCAAACGCACGTGGTCCCCAGCCCATTGCAGGCGTCGCTGTATATGACCTGCTGTTAACGGTGGTTTCCCTACTGGCCTTTGTGCAAAACAACCGGCTTGCAGTAATCTCTTGTTCACGAGGGACCTTGAAACGGGCGTTTGAATGACATTCTGCCACTCTTTTCTGAGGACACTGGTTGTCTCTGTACGACCAGTGCGGCGTCCTCTAAGGAGAAGGCGATCCTGTCTTCTTGGTGTGAAACGCGGACACCCTGGTCGAGGTATTGGAGTAGGTGCCCCTGTTGCAGTATTTCTTTGGAGGACTTAACAAATGGTTCCTGATATATGTTGAATTACCTTGCAATGGCTGTCCGTTTCTGGCCATTTTCTCTGAGAGCAAGAATCACATAGTAAGCTGAGTTGCTTAGCTGTCGAACCATATCTTCACTAAGGTACCTGTCAAGTTTCAGAGCGATCCCTTTGTTGCTTCTCTAAACACACTCCAAAGATTGACCAAACCCATGCGTTTTTATACAAGGGCAATTATTGCCGAAAAGACCACCCCTCACATTTTTGACCACAGATCATACAACTGCATACATCAATTGTTTCGAGAGTTGTGTGGTAATTAGGTAACACCATGGAGTGATACCTCAGCTTTGGATTTAAACTAGTTATAGAGAAATTAAATATTTTCTAGGAAATTTACTCACCAAAAAAAAAAATATTCCATATTAAGTGGTAACCCTGTATATTCGTTGTCACACCACTCTACTTTGACAGCAGTGTAACCCTGACCTAACTAAATCAAGGGTCCGTTTAACAGAAAGTCCTCCCTCCATTTAGTTATAATAGTTAGGGTTAGCGTGACCTACATGAAAGTGGGTCAAAATCTAGGGCGAGGCCCACAAATGGACGGGTTCTCTATCATGGGGAGGGGGGGGGGCACTGTCACGTACTGGCAGCAGTACGTGCCCCCCAGCACGATAGTGAATGTGGCCTTGATAACGATATGCACCAATATTTACCTTGTACCAATATGAATTATCTAGTTGAAATGAAAGATAAAACCCTCTCCCTAAGCATACCTCGTATTCGACTGGGTGCCTGATAAATGCTGAACAAAAGCGCCAGCAGTTTAGGACCGAAAAAGAGGTAAGACATTGGAGACGGCTTTAATCAAATTGTAAACGTGATTTGAGCTCAACGGGCGACAGCAGATCAAACTGTAAACGCTTTAGGTTGAGGACGGGAGAAGATGGTGGCGAGACACTATATCACAGTTGCACTGTTCCTTTCACCTCTGTTGCTGTTTCCCAGTGCCATTTCATGGACAAAGCTGCCTGAGAATGGCCGTGGCGTAAATGTTACATGCATACAGGAGAAGTGCCTCGAAGAATACACCTCTTGCGCCAAAACCAAATTATGTGAAGATGCCTTTCAGTGTTTTTGTAACAAGAGCGTAACGCAGTGTATGTACGATGCATTGTGGGACTTGAGGTGCTTTCAGTACTATAATGACGACGTTTTGTACCGCTTGGCGGCATGTGCTGTGACTAGGGAAGGTTGCATCACGCCCAACCCACCGATGCCCGAATACAAGTGCAAGAAACCTACCAATCTGTACCCGAAATTTGACATTCGAACGCTCGCTGACACTTGGTTCGTATACCGCGGCTATCCTGCGGGGTACCATATCCCTGTGCCTCCGGTCGATTGCTACGACTGCCAGAGCTACACGTTTAGTTATGACCTTTACAATACGACGGCGTGCCAGGGTAAGAAGCAGTACAGTGTCAACATTAGAGCCGACCTGCAGCGTAACTTCACCTACAAATCCTTATTCGTCGTTAAATCACCGACAGGGAATATCATTCAAAGCACTGGGACTGAATTTGGACTTTTTCGCTCCGACGAGTTTCGTATTTTGGACTACTACTACTGGGGATCGGCGACAGGGTATGTCTTGGCTTATTATTGCGGGACCTTTGGCTTCTGGCCAACTGAAGGAGTGATTATGCTAATCAGACCTTGGCTCTTCCACCTGCCTCCCGACGTAATCAAGAGAGCTGAGCAAGCCGCGGCGAGTAATGGATATGACTTGAGTAAATTCTGCACTCCCAACAACAAGCCGTATGCCACATGCTATAGGACATAATATGTTTTTGTTGCATCGTTCACTGGAGATCTACAGTTGTTGAAAGAAAAGAATATAACGTACAGACAAGGAGGTGGCCCGTTTAATGAACGTTCTTTGAGGAATAATGATTTTTTTATACTAATCAAATAAAATATAATATTTGCATATCGTCTCTGTATTTTGGCATAGTTTGAGTGAGAGTCACCTATTACGTCGCCGCATCACTACTCCCGAACATCGTTACTTCCCTGTATCAATATGTCACCTGCATTGAAACACCCGCTTAGTGTTATTCCCTCATGGTTTTTGAATAACGATTTGATAACGATCACTATAGAGAAACTATGGGCAACAATTACTCGCCAAATCCTATTGCAGACCAATCTCCGAGAAACCAGTCAGAAGGAGTAGCATGCCACAAGAGAACCCTGGTAGCAGCAAGAAGAGGTCACACGCGCTACTGCCCCCGTGTGTAACTAGAAATACTATAGATACGACTGTCACGTTTGGGGTGTGTCACTCTCTAAAACTTAAATATGGAGACCTAAATGTATGAACCTTATTAGTCAAAATCAGAAGTGTATTTTTGTAATGATTGATTGAAGAATTAGGTAAAAAATGATGACACAATAACACTGAATAAATGGTAAAATATTATTTCAGCGTGATTTTTTTTTACTTCTTTCTTAGATAAATATGAAAATTGAAGAAGGATATTCAAAATAAATGTGAACTCTGCATATAGCGGATGCAGAACACGTGTCTCTAAATGTGCTAAAAAGACCGTTTTTATCGCAGTTTTCCAATAATGCCAATGTCCCTATCAAAAGCACCCTCAGACGCAAATTTTCGTCATGAAGTTTTAAACCGAGATTTTTGGATGGTCGGTCTTCATGGTAAATCGCTCTGTTCTCTTTCTTGAATGTCTTGTCATAACTATAACAAAATATCATTGTGTCCAACTATATTTTATCAGCGTGAACATATTGAACTTTAAGTTCGCTCACGGATGACTGGGGTATACCGATCTAAACCAAAATTTCATCCAAAATGTACTTAAACCTGACTGTTGTTAGCGTTAATATTGTTAGTCTTAAAATTAATTTTTGGATCACATTGTTGTAAGTTATTTTATTTTCAGCATAGTGTCATAAGTCTGTAAACGTAATTTCCTCTTTTTTTCCTTGGAATTTTCCATAAATTGTATTGAATTACAATTGAATTACAAATTACAATTGAAAGTTTGAAATATAATTCACATTTTCTCGCCTCCATCTTTCAGTTTAACGGTTTCATTCTTCTACAAAACTGACGCAAGAGACAGAGTTCTGAGGGCAATCCTTGCCAACGGAAACTGCGACATACCCCCAACATTCCTGTTTGTGACCCAAGGAAACGATCTTCATTGCGAAATGGATGTTGTAGACCGGGGTGCATTTTTTAGAAAGAGGATACCAAAATTATGCAAATACTCAGATATATTTAAACAGGTGTGAGTCTTTCTCTTTTCTGTGTGAATAGAATGTGTAAAGCAAGGTCCCGCTTGGCATTTTGGGGGGTTAATTTCTGTTTCTGCAATTCCAAAAGCTGTAGGTAGGGCATATCGTTTGTTAGTTAGAATAAGAAATTATAAATCTAAACATGTTAACTGACTATTAACAAATATATCTGTTGACCTATTTCTTTCTCCTTCGGAACCCTTCATGATTCAGAATATTATAATTTCATAACTGTTTTTTTAAGTCAAATAAGACGTATTTAAGCTGAAACCAATAAAACGCTTTAAGGCCGCACACAGAACAGTGGACTAACTAGTCCGAGGGTAAAACATGGCGACCCATTAAAAAGCTTGCCGTCTAATCCGCTAATAGACACTGAATAGATTCAATGTGGGGAAGTATTCAAGTGGGTCGGTCATATTTGAACCTAGGACTAGTTAGTCCACTGCTCTGAATGCGGCCTAAGTCACGTAATAAATCTTCTAACACGCCAGAAAACACATTATATATCTTATTCGCGTTTCCAGCTACCAGAAGACAGTTGGGTGGGTGTGGTGACAACTTTTAACTCACTTAAGATACACACCAGGGTGAAAATAATGAAAACTGGAGAAATACGGGAGGGGAACAGTACCTTATGTGTAGGTAAGTGTATGGACCATGTGATCTGCAGGAGGGGATCCAGAGATATTTTTTGACAGTATTCCAAATTATCTTTGTTGATCCAACCTCCATTTTTGATGATCTTCCAACAGAAAAAAATAGATACCCATCAATGTAAACATTAAAATCTGACCGCCTTTCAGAAGACCCAGAAGAGGGTCTCAATCCGCCCCTGAGGGTGAGAAATCTGAAAAAGAAATTGTACCTTAAATGTACATGTACGTATATGTATATGTAGGCAGTACATGTAAGGCCGCATTCGCAACCAAGTCTATTCTTGAATCAATGGTGCATGTGCATTAAAGGCTGTGAACTAAACGGTTACGGGAGCGGTAATTTTTTTCAATTTGTTTCCAGGTTCCGTTCCGGCGACTCTGGCTCCTCTGAATATTGGACGTGACTTGTACTGTATCAAACAAAATGGTCGCTCCCTCGCTGGTAACTTTGTAGGAAAACTAGATCAGGTATCTGTACAAATTTAGTTGTTAAATAGCCCAGTTTGATATTAAAGTACTTCCAACTTAAATCGAAATCTCAGACAGTTTTTGGTCACACGCTGAACCGTTAACCTTTATAAAATTTACCTGGACACTTAAACAGTTCTCATCACGGAGTAAAATACCTGGCCTGGCAGTGAAAGTTCGTATGCTAGCTTTCAGCGTGTTATTTTTCTACGTTTACTTTTTTACTCTTCATCAGCAAGGCATACGATATCTGTAAACCGATATAGTTGTGTTAATATCATTTAGCGTCCATTACATGAGATATGTGTTGTGCTTTAAGACTTTAACTCCATTATCCCATATCTCTGCACAGGTTCAAATATACAGAAGAGCTCTGGAATCCTGGGAAACAGACAGAGTGCTTGCCGGGGAGGTCAATATCAGGACTTAGACTGGGTTTCCATACCTAGATCGATCTAAGAGAATCGATCCATCTCCGAGGGGTTTCTCGCTTAATTGCTTTCAGCTTAAGCGGCTTAGATGTCTGTTTCGCCTACTGAAGCTGTTAAGGGGTAATTTATTATCGTTTAGCAGCTTCAGAAGGCGTGCCAGACATCCAAGCCGCTTAAGTTGATTGCAAGTTGATTGCGAGAATCCCCTCGGAGATGGATCGATCCGTAGTTAGTACGATGGGGTCTGGGAATTGTCCCTTAGTGAAACAAAGACTTTTATCAATACGACACAATCATGCGGTGGATTTGTTTGCAGGGGCCGACTTCACAACCTAAAATCGAAACAGAAAACTATGAATGTTTTAATGTTTTAGAGAAAAAAACGAAATCTACTTGACCTAGGATAAATTTGAAATATTTTAAACGAATGAAACAGCGCGTAATTATGTATCAGACCAGCACTAACTTTTATTTAAGTGTATTACTGAGAAATTATGCTGTACGAATTTTGGTCTAAATATCATTTTGTGACATTGGCCCCTGGAGGACTTAATAGACCTATAAGTCGTAAAGGACAAAGGATTGGCGCAAAAAATACTCCTTGCAACGACAAAGAATCTCATCAGTGTAATGCATTATACTTTATAATACTGGTTTGAACGAGCAAAAGCTAAATACTCCGAGTTATTCATTGTCTGTTAAAACTAGACTATGTATGCTAGACTTTGGCCGCGCTTTCAAAATTGTTTCCTGGACACATGCCAACATAACATTATTTCTTCATTTAAAGAAATATATTAAACGCATTCTTCAAATCATCTTTTGACAAACCTCTTCCCAATAGAAGCCTCCATGCGTGAACTTGAAATCTCCTTTATTATTATTATTATTATTATTATTATTATTATTATTATTATTGTAACTTATTAAGTTTAAGTGTCTTCAAAAAGACACAGATGAATATGTAAGTAACCATAAAGATCTTGTTTTTTATCCAAAAAAGTGGTTTTTAAGCAGCTCAATTCGACAACTCACTAGTATTATAGGTATCTTTTACTGAATGGAATACTTCGTGAAATGAGAAATTGTTATGTTATTACCTAAAAATATTGGCTTCAATCGTTTCTATATACGTCTGGAACTTGTGTCTTTGCTGTACAAACATTAATTTACGTTTAAGCTTCACTTATGGCCATTATTTATTTATGTATTTATTTAGTAAAAGGCTAAGAGACAATAAAAGTCAATATTGTCATTAACATTTGCCTCTTTACCTAAATATTATTTCTTTTTTTATATAGCCACGTGGATATGAAAGAAAAGTTTACATCACTATGATCTATCTGACTCTAATTATACTTTAACTCACAACTAAAACATTCCAGGCCTACCCAACTACCAGACTCGGCACATAAGGATCCTGAATTAACCAGTATATCGAACCACATTAATCTAATAGAATGCAAAAAAAGCCCTATCAAAAGTGGTTAAAGCATTCAAACCGAATGTCGTAAAGTCCCCATATACCCACATAGAGACAATAAAATAGAGTACTCTAAAGTAAGAGTATTTATGCACCCGGGTTTAAAATCATATAGCGATTTTACGACAATCGTTTACTATCCAATCAAGGTGACAGCCGAGCGTGGATGAGCCCGCGGTCGTCCTACAAAATTTGTTCTGGGGTATGATACTCCGAAATGCGATCTGACACACACCTTGAAAACGGGTAGTGTGGTTCGATATACCAGTTAATTCAGGATCCTTATGTGCCGAGTCTGGTAGTTGGGTAGGCCTGCATTCGCATCGCTTTTATTTCATGTTGATACCAGTTATTTCTGTCTTTGACCAAAATTTTAATTAAGAAATTGAAAACGCATGCCTTAAGAGCAACTATAATCGGCAGTTCAATTGGTCCACGGAGAAAGCACACAAGCAGAAAGATTGGGCACTTTAACCAATTAAAACTGATCTATATACATGCAACTGTAGATGCGTTTTCAAATTGACCAATTTATTCATTAAACAAGATCAACACGATGATTATGATGAATTCTCAATATGATCAAAAGTGAACTGTTCTTACTTCTTATTATTGTGCCTGTTGCGCTGCCAAGCAGCCCCATAGGTCTAAGAGTTTTTCTCCATCTTCTTAATCTTCTAACAATTTGTAAATTGAGGCCAATACAGCCTGTCGCAGGTATTATCAGGTTCGGTCATTTTTCTTGTTTGGCACATTCTGTTCCCACATGTACTATTCCTATATGTAGGCCTAGTAATTTTAGTGTGCATCGAAAGGGTCGCCAAATCGGAATTATAAGTAAGCTCAGTACCTGTGCCATATGTAATGGGCACATTTGGGACGAAGAAAGCCAAGATATGTAGTTACTCTGTCATTTGAAGTGTACTTTGTGTAAAAGAGACAAAATATCAGGATTTTCAATGTACTCAACGCGCCTCGTTCTTGGGAGTTCAATCGCATTGGCCTCATACTGTATATCTAACATGAAAATACTGCACAAAATATACAAAATATATGTGGCTTACACATGCTGGAAATACTGTGTGATTCTCAATGTTGGCATACCAATTCCTCCAGTAAAGGAAGAGCTGATGATATTTTTAAAACGTCGAACGGCTTGTGAAGAAGTCATCTTTATTTTGCATATATTATCATAGCTATATTTGTCTTGGTGCCAACTTGATACATCTGCCAACCAGAGTTTTTGACCTGGCTGTGATAAAAAAAGTACCGTGCAGATATCCACCATGGATGATGGCTTATAGTAATCTTGCCGCTGAACCTTCGCCATAGGAATACAAACCACTTGCTACGGGATGTACGTGACGTCACAGACAACGTTTCGCTTGTGCACGTCTTTTGACTGGGTTCCCACATATTTAGATCGATCCATCTGGATCGACCTAACTCCCTGTGTGTTCACGTTAAATTGCTGTCAGCTTCCTGGAGCCGAGCACGCACAAAAGTTAATTACTCCCTCACAGCTTTTAGTAGGCGGGACAGACATTTAAGCCGGTTAAGCTGACAGCAATCTAGTGAAACTCCCCTGGGGGATAGATCGATCTAAATATCTGTGGGAATGGTCTCTATAGTTTCGCACTAGTTCGTTATGACGGAAGAAAACCCTGCACCGGGCATCTTTTTGTTCCACAGAGCGTCGAAACGCTCATTTTGATGCACCGTAAAATGGTGCTTCCAGTCGCCTACGGTTGCTGAAATAAGAGTTGTACACGGTTATCTTTTTTAGCTGTTTAGCAGGGCTGACATACATGTAGTCCAGAATTAGACTAAGTGACGACACTAGAAGGCTAGACTGCTTAAAACTATACGGGCGGGTTTTCAATATTTGGTATCAATTACCATTATACATATATACTAGTTTTACAAACATAAGACATATTCACAATATAACTGTACCAGGTGCACGGAAAAGTAAAAAATGAGAAAAAGTGGGATCGCAAACAACTTTACCTTTTCTGTATAAAACTCCGTTCTTGTACGGGAGCGGGGTAGCCTTCATCTGTTCCTCTTTCACCGTCTTCATGTTCTCAAACGACGTGGCTTCTGCAACTTTCTGCAGGAACTCGGGACTTCTGTCACAGCCCAGGAAGGCTGAGAGTTCCGGGAGAACTTGGAGTGGAGCCTGGAGAAACAAAAATCTTTCTTTTTCCTTTCAACAGTTAAAAAGTTCATATATTTAGAGCTGCGCACACTTTTATTTGGAGGCGGAGGATGGAAAATCATACACTTGAAGTTCGACATTGGTAGACTCGACCCACGAAGTATTTTAATTTTTTAAAAATTTTAATGGATTGTTAAAAGAGACATAGATAAATTTAAACAAACGTCTTAAATTTTTAAAAATTTCTTTCTAAACTCCTCTAAATAAATTCTTTCCTCGTTTCTCCGCTGTCTGTCTTCTCCTCCTCTTCTTAAACACACATGTATAGCTAAATTCCACTTTACCGTGTCAAGGAGCAAAAAATGGAGTAAAATGGGGTAAAAGAAACAGAACTAATTCAATTGGCCATAACTTCTCCACGCCCACGCAAGAGCAATGCCCTCAATGTGCAATGCAGCAATGGAATTTGTGCTCTAAAAGTATTTATTCTTATTGTACTAAAATTAAGGTGTTCCATATAAACTATCATCACAAAAAACATTTGTCGCTTGCAGATTTGGTCAGACCGATTATTAGAAAAAATCATATTTTCATACATGTGTGTCAACTTCTCACCTCTCGCAGCTGTTCATAAGAAATGTTAAATACGTTGGTTTCTTTCTGTTGCCAGTCGGCCTCGTAGTCAAACCAGGATCCATATAACACTTTCAAAATAGATACATGTACTCGTAAATAAATAAATAAATAAATAAATAAATAACAGAGCAGAAAAAGGGAGATATCGAATACATCAAAAATAAATAAGTCATTAAACAACATGTCAATTAGATATATGAATTAATTGAAGAAATTTGTTTAAGTAAAGAATATTTAGTAAGTTATGACAAATTTAGTAAATTATGACAAACTAAAACTCTTTGAACAAGTACAGTATTGTATAGTATTTATGTTAGAATTACAAACTTACTCCGTCTTACCAAGAAAGTCAATCGACATCCTTGGTCTTAATGAATAGGGCCTATCTTATAGTACGACCACGTGTACATGTAGGCCTACATGTACATGTACTTACCTTTGCCATCCATGAACATTTCAAGAAAATCGTCCCACTCTCCATCATACTTGACAAAAGGAAGACGTTTACAAAAATAATACATGGATACAGCTGAATCTTTTGGATTTCGCACGATGTGCACTATTTTTGGATGTTTGTTAACCATGTCGCGTGGCAACCGGTCGTGATGGAGATGCGACCACATTATTCTCGGTGCTGCGAGATTATCGAGATCCTGTAACGAGACTTTTTCCATGTGGAGAACCACTTCCGGTGCCTTGCCAGTGACAAATTTGCTGACTTGTGTTGTGTTGCATAGCAACATGTGAACGATCTCACAAATCCAGTGTAGACCTGGAATACAGTATACTCATCTCCAATCTATTTATAAAACTGTACCTTACTGCAATAGGCCTACGTTTTAAACCTTTAGTAAACTTAAGAGAACACGTCTTGCAAATGTTTGAAACGTAAAATGCATGTACATGTTTTGTTGAAACATTACAAAAAACTTAAATTTAAGTTAAAAGGATTTCCACATAAGAAAACTCTTTCTGATGAAATATTAAATAATGTGGTAACATGTTTCTTTGTGCAATGCATGTAAACGTACCTGTAGGCCTACAGGTAGCCTATATTAGGCCTATTTGAAGTGGGTGCGTATAGGACTGCTTTAATAATCATAGGTCAAAAGTACAAAATATTTAAAAAGTACAAAAAACGAGACGCCTGTGAGTGTGTGTGCGAGAGAGAGAGAGAGAGAGAGAAAACGTTCACCAGAAGAAGCAACTACGAGAATGCTGTGCTTATTATTTGCATAACAAGAAAAAAAAACTCTGTTTTCAACATTATCTTATGCACCCACTCCACCGCGGGCACGTGGCCACTCACCTGCCTTCGGGTAGCCAGTCACAATCACGTCGTCCTTGTGTATCTCCATCCCACGAAGCTGTTTGATATTCTCAGCCACATTCGGAAAAGCTGGAAAGTATTCTCCGTCTATACACACCCCCAACATACCCTTTCCGTTATTTCCAGTGAATCTCTCTGCCGCCATGATGATTCTCTGAGTGTAGAATAATAATAATAATAATAATAATAATAATAATAATAATAATAATAATAACGATATTAATGATGGTGATGATGATGATGATAAGTAAACAGTTGAATAACAATCAATTTTGAAAATTTGAAAATAGCAAAATATATTTAATAGTTTCACATTTCGTAATAAAACGATTAAGCCTTAATTCAAATAAGGAGAACATAGAATAAAGGTTTATATGAAATGCAAAATTGCCACAGGACAAAAAATCTCTTCATGTGAATTGACATGTGAAATGTACATATACTGTACTTCAAGAGCGCCTGACATGCAAGCTGGGGCATTTTTTGAATGCGACATTTTACTACATGTAGTACGTACGCCTTAGCTACGCGCACAGTAGACACTATAGCCCCGGCTGTACTATTCTTGGTACAGCGCGTAAAATGCCAAACAATGCACAGCTCACAAGAGCTTGTCTCACACTAGCAATTCTCTTTTGAGTGTACTTAATTGTTTCGCAAAAAGCGGCAAGTATCAAAGTTCCTCTTTTCCAAAATGTACTACACAACAATGTAGTTGCCAGTGATTTAATACGTTTTAGAACCTCATTTTGTTGCCTTACAGTGGAACTGAAATCAGTGTCAACCTGATGAAAGTTTTTTTTACTTATTGTGCTCCCTCACGACACCCCCTCTTGACGCCCCCTCACGACACCCCCTCACCCCTAGGGGCAGGACGCAGTGCATAGGAGGTTATCCCCCCAGCCTTTTCCCCCACATCTCATTATTCCACCGAATCCATTTGAAATAGGTTAATGTGTAGCACACTGTGTGGCATTCGGTTTTTTTAATATCGTGATTTCTTGGGGTTGTTAATTATGTTCCCTGTTAATGGCCCCGCCTTCAAAAATGTGTCTAATTCTGTACCCTTAGTAGTCATTTTCAGTTTCGTACAATACATGAAGAATAACATGAGTGCATAAAAAATTGTACCGTACGAACGTTGATCTTACTTGCGGTAAGCATGTATGCAGCAAAGTAAAGGCATTTATTTTTTATGCCATTGTACTTTTATACTGAGCAATGACCTACTTTGGGCCATGTTGCGTGGGGACATTTTGTAGCTTCGGGCTACTTTATTCTATACATATATATATACTACAGAGGTCATCTGATTGATGGCTTGACGCCTTTAATTCCAAGCGTAAAGGTCTCGCTTAATAGACAGTAGAAATTAAAATAAATAACGCAATGCCACGTCTGTTAATATCTGGTGAAAACACAATCAGTGGTAGAGGGATGACCGTGATCTCAGATGCACAATAATCACAGAACCCAAGACCACCATGCACCCTAAGTGTCGGGTGGGATCACTGGATACTCACGTCTCAGGGTGCACCGTATAGTCAATTTAACTGTCTCCTGCAAGATTTCTGTAAAGTCGATATAACTTGCACTCACCCGCTCAGTCTGTTAAGGAAATATTTCAGTCATCGTTCATCACCTGCTAGTTCACACCGAGGTCCGGTCCCTTCAAGGTCTGTTATACCGTATATAAAGTGGAGAGTTGGTCTTAAACGGTCTTAACTCTACACACGCCAGGAATAAGTCTACTTGGCCCAATATTATATATAACCCGTAGTGGTCCACTCAAGTGAGAGTAGGCCTATTTGACCTGTGTGTTTCGTATTGTTTTAAATGTGTTTAAGGTTAATCAGTAGTTACCTTAATTCAGATGATGAATACAGATTTATCCGGCAATTTTGGTCCTAAAGTTAAGAGGAAGTATCGACACGACCTCGGCTGACGGCTTCTTTCACGGCAATGTCCCCCGCTGGTTTATTGTACCTGTATATAACTGTGCTGTTTCTTTTACACAGCAATGATCGAGTTATTTATAGATCCCAACGGCGCCTTTTTTCTCCCCATTATGCAAAATGCATTTAGTTCAATGTGGAGGTAGGTTCAGCGTGTATCTAGGCCATCCCTTTCATCACATGTAGAAAAAATATGGGACTGTGCTGCGCCCATTAACAATACGTCATTACGATCTGATCGATATTGATTCTAAACCATGCACTCGTCTCTTTGGCTATTTTATATTTGTCTAGTCCCATTAATTCATGCACGCTGTTAATACTTACTACATTATTTAAAGCAGTATACAGTTTTTGAGTATCTAACATGTTTGTATTTCAATGCATTGTGCATTACTATGGGTACATGCAATTGCATAAGGTACAGAAACAAATATAAATTTTAAAGATCTGATCAAGTAGATAGTTTTATGAACTGCAACCCATCCGTTTATTTTGCCTGTGAATATGAACTTATATATGAACCCAATTTATTTAATGAATCATTAATTCGTATTGCTTAAGGAAAGGATTTCGCGCAAGCCGGTGCAACAAAGGTAAATCACTTGTAAGGGTTACCTTGTTCGCCATGTGATAAAATTTAAGGTTCTTATCTAACCCGGTAGTATTGAGGCCAGGGTTGAACTTGTGAAATAGGAATGTTTGGTTAGGTTCATTTAGAGGTGATGCATCATATATCTTGAACACAACATTGAACTATTTACACATCCTAATCAGATCGCATGAGTAGGTTAATCCTGTTGTGGTTAGGGGAACTGGGGGGGGGGGGGGGAGGGGGGGGGGTAAATACTCTCTGACCACAGGGGTCGTCACTGGTCCGTTTAAAAAATGTTGAATCGACGAGCAGGTAGGGGCGTGGTAGTTGTATACGAGTAGACAGCTTGACCACTTCCTCGAGTAATAGTTTGATGTGTTACATTAAACTTTTTTTACGTTGTATGTGTTATTCTAATGAATGTAAGTGACTCCTCCAATTACTCCAAACTTCAAAAACATAAATATAATCATAAATTAGAGCAAATAATTTATTGCCAAATGTTTTTTAGCCAAATCATAAAGGCACTTGTACATAAAGTGAACTCTAGCACATGCTGGCGTTTACAGAACTGTACGATACTGAACACTGAAATAATGAAGTATTTGTAATAACACAGTGAAAACTGCCACTAATGCGAACGCTTTGGGGAAAATATTATCAGTCGTAGTCAAATCCACACTCGCTCTATAGCTATTTACATTATATCTTTTTTCAGAGTATTTCTCTTTCCTTAACTGTCTCTATCTTCAGAGTTGTTTGTCGTTCATTTTAAACAATCGTGCAATGTTTTATGTTTTTTTAGTTTTTCCTTTCCTGAAAATTTTGTTGCTGGTACACGTATATGCATTTACCATTTGTCTTACTGGCAATTATTAATAAATGCATTTTCCGTGGGCGGCACCGCTTCTGGTTCATCTAAAGAAGACTTTATAATCTACTGATCGGTTTTTATTGTTGTCATTTTTCTCTTTCTCATGGGCATCTTCGACAGCAACGTCCACTTTTGGTTTCGTTTTAGGGTAGCATACAAATGCAAAAACGGTCAGAATAGCGAACTCGATGAATTCGACAATGGTCAGCAAACTGAAGCCCATAAAAAGCCCAAACTGTCCTCCGATGTCACCTTGAATAGAAAAAAGGAGATATTCAATAAAAGAATGGGATAGGGCTAATACTTTTAAGTAAAAACACCGCATCGGTAGAATTCTTGATCTTGTTCTTTTAAGTTTTAAATACAGCACTGTAGATCAGACTCACCGCTGTAACCAACGACCTCGGACAATGAACGTTTTCGATAATTATAAATTTTATGTCAACTAGGACCTATCAAAATTTAACAGTTATTATAAAAAAATGCAATGTTTCAACAAAGTTAAAAATAACTCGACCACCATTATCAAACAAACTTGAATATAAATTGAAATAAAGTTGTACGTTTGTGACTGTCATCAAATAGAAAAGACCTCATTTTTTATATATTTTTTCAAGCTGGTCATCCAAAATAATATCTTTCCAACATGAGTACCACAACTTGAAAATGGACTTGATTTATGTGCTTGTTCCCAAGGCACTATGCTTTACGTAGATCGACCCAACGCCCTGGAGAACTTGCTGAATGCAATCAGATTAACTGATTAACACGCTTTCTCCCGGCGTTGAGCAGAATATAAAAAGGCTCGTGTTAGTCTGTTTAGCTGATTGCATTCAGCATTAGTCCCCTTGGAGTTGGTTCCACCTATGTAGAACTATAGTTTTATTGGGAATGAGCCCCATGGCTCACAGAAACGTGCTTAGTCCTTTTTTATTTAGAATTTAAAAACGTAAACACACTTGCCTCTATAATAATCAGAATGATTGTACTCACCGATGAGGGCGCCAGGCTCTATTGCGGGCTGTTGCTCACTGTGGACGTAGTTCAAGCTCTCAAGATAAACATCCAGGATCACGAAGTTCTTTCTATAATGAAAATACAATGTATACATGAATATGAAGATGTACACAAATTTTAACTAAATGAAGAACACAAAGACGAAAGCAGTGCTGTCAGTGCGTCTACATCACACACGTTTAAAAATTATATTATGAAATATATAGAATAGCGTTGATCGAATAACTGTTTTTTATCGAATAATAAAACAGTCAGGATGTTTTTTAAAAAGGTTTAATAAACACACACACATACACACACACGCGCACACACACACACACACACACACACACGCACACACACACACACACTAATCAATTTTTGAGAGGCTTCATGAAAGTATTACTGAAGTCTGACATTAGGATAAGCCCATTCAAAAACGACAGACTAGGATTTGGTTGTACGTACTTGTAACTGGTCACGTCAACATTATATATGTCTTTCAACTCTCCACCTGTGCTCAAACTAGGAACAGCGGTTGACGTCACAGAGGTCTGATACGTCACGACCTGGCAGGGGACGGGGCACTTGCACATGCGCGTGAAGTTCTGTCTGATATTTGCTAAAAATTATTCAGAATTGTAATGTAAGAGAACGATGTGGTGATTGTGTAAAACAAGAGTGGAAGTTAAAATGCAACGCTAAAGAAAAAATAAAGGGGCAAATATGAGAATAACGTTTACCCTTACATAACAGGCCATCTACACATATGAGCATCATTCCTGTTCTTGAAATAGATTTCAACATATCAATTCAGATTGATTATGTATGTAAGTTTTGTAGCTGGTAATAATTTGTGGAATTTTAAGAGAGAGAGAGAGAGAGAGAGAGAGAGAGAGAGAGAGAGAGAGAGAGAGAGAGAGAGAGAGACTATCCTATATTCATCAAGACCATAGTGTGCAATAGATTTTGAAAATATTTCGAACAAAATACTAATGAATTTAATAAAGGTAGATGAGCTGTAATAATTCATGTGTAATTCTTATTATTTGTCGATGCATGTACTTACCTAAAACAGGCAGTACGCATTTCGTTTCCTCGACCAGAGAACATTCCCTCGCGTCTCCTGCATTGGAATTAAAGTAAAAAAAAATTAAATCAGATAAAGGTCTAATAAAAAGACATTAAAGAGAAGAAAATACTGCATGAAAACGGTAACAGTAATAACAAATAAATTCACAATTGTAATGCATTACAGAATAATGTAATTGATATTATAACGGTCGCGTTGCCATGTATTTTTCCGACCCCCAAATGGGAACAACACAGTCGGTAATGTTATTTTTACGATAATAAAATTCAACAGTAAACATGAACCCAAATACTTGATGTGAGTACGCTAACGAAATATAAGGCGCATTAGTCTTTTAATCACCAAAAATAGATTTTTTCTTAAATTTTCAATAAATAACCCCGAGTCCTTAAGGCATGATATATTTTTCCGTTTGGTATTTAAACTCTGTTTTAAGTGTTACAGAATAAATCAACCAGTTTCCATCTGTATCTCGAGTGACTTGAAAACTGTGAAATCAAACAACCCTATACATGTACGAGTAGATTTACGGTTTTGGATAGTATACTCCTTCGTTGCGAAGTGAAATGTGACAACTTCCATGAAATTATTGTTTTGGCTGTGTGAATATGTAATGCTAATTGTTTGACTCTAAGGGTGTATTCCCAGAGATTTAGATCGATCCAGAGATTAAGATTTAGATCGACCTAACTCCGTGGGGGTTCACGCTAAATTGCAGTCAGCCGAGCGCGCACCATAGTTAATTACCCCCTTACAGCTTTCAGTAGGCGGGACAGACGCTTAAGCCGGCTAAGCTGACAGAAAATTAGTGAGACTCCCCACAGGGATAGATCGATCTAAAATCCATGGAAATGGGGTCTAAGCTTCCGTTGACCCTCCCCTTACATACCAGGGTATTGCATCGGTTTGCACCCGCAAGCTTCTAGAATATGATTCAACTTGCACTCCATAATGCACCCAGAGGTCGTATATACCTCGTAATATTGAAGAGACGCGGACTGGTTACATGGCCCGTATGGTGGCTCCAGTGTGTCAGTCTAAGAAAAAAATGCGGAAAGTATAAAAAATTGAAAAAACAGGTATAAAAAAGTGTACAGATATTTATACAAAATAAAAAAATGTTTATAAAAAGATACATTTTGTGTCGTTGATTCAAGTTGACGAATGCATCGCATTGGATTAATAATATGTTACTTTATGTCACCAATATTTCAAAATGTCACTCTCTGTTGGATTCAGATTTTCAAAAGGGATGACACAGATTTTTCTTTTTACAGAATAATTATTTAAAGCGTTAGCAAGAAGATATCTTGACGATCAAAAGTGTATCATATAAATGTGCCCACGTCAAGTCTAGAGAGTCCTGCGTAGGTGCGAAATCCTGGGGCGGCAGCGCGTCCCTTGGTTTCAATAGACGGTGGCTCGGACTGGTTGTGCACATGGAAGAAGATCCCGGCGTCCAAATCATCCCCACGCAGCAAACTGTTGCTGTATAAATACTGAAATGTATAACGGGGAATAGGGGTGCCCATACGTGACTCGTAAGCGTTTTAGTTTCATTCCGCGCCCAACAAAATGTACGACGCGCCATGAAGTTTATGTCAACAGCATCTGTAACTGTTGTGAATAAAATTGTCATTCTACTTCAAGATTGGTGATATAAGGGTATAATTCTTGAGACGGCGGATAAAAAAGAATGGATGGAGAATATTTAGGTCCGCTGTATTTTCCCAACCTTTTAATAATAAACTGAAGTATATCTGTCTTTAAACATTTAAAAGGAAGACGGTGATGGGGCATGATGGGAAGAGTAAGGTTTTTTCTTGTTTTGTTTTAGCTTATACACTGTACATGAAGCGTTTTGTGTACCCTTACCTGTTGGATATTTATTTCCAAATGGAGTCCATTCCCGATCCCCTCTTGATCTTGGTACTTACTTCCATTAGCATTGAACGTGTAACAGTTCCCAAAAGACGTGAAAGCATGAGTAAAGTCCTTAAAATAACAGGGTTAGTATTTTTTACAAAATAAGCAAACAGCCTCAGTTAAGAAACGGCTTTTGTACAATATACTTAATGTATGTAAATATCTTATTTACAATGTATTGAAAAGAAGCAGAATAAAACGTGTACTATCATCAACGGTTATGTACATGTATGTGTTGTAAAAATTAGCTGTTCTTATGTATAGAAAGCATTTGTCTGTTTATATCCGCATTCACAACCTAAGTTGATCCGCTGAACTGTTAGTCCGTGGATCAATTGGCTCTGAATGCGCCCTATAACATAAGTAACTTTTCATTCAATTCATGAGAAGAATACAACAAGAGAGCATTCGTATCGGATGCTGGAACATTCAAGGTCTAGGGTCAAAACTTGAAGACGCAGATCTTATCAGTCTAATTACACAATACGATATCTTTGCACTTACAGAGACATGGACTGATAGCGATACAATACCTTCAATGCCAGGATATGTCACATTTCACTGCTATAGAAAATCAAAACTAAAAACAGCACGTAGGAACTCTGGAGGGATAGTCATATTTGTGAAAAAGTGTTTAAACGCTGGTGTAGAAAGAATTACTAGTAGGAACGAAAATATTTTAAGTCTTAAACTTAAAAAAGCATTTTTCCAAACAGAAAAAGACATAATGCTAGCTACAGTATATATAAGTCCGGCTAACTCCAGTTATAGCAAGNATCAAAGAGATAATTTAAAGTTATTAAAACAAGATTATAATCCTTATTTTCATTTATCAGTCAGCAAAATAGGAAAAAAATTGATAAAAAATCATTTCGAAAAAAATATTCCATATTAAATGTCAAGTCTGTATATATAATTCAATTTTAGCAATATCTTGAGTGTTAATCAGGCCACAGTAAAGAACTACACATGAACCTTGCTTGTTTTCAATGGCAAAATTTGGCCTATAAACCCTGTGGTGGTTTACCCTGTTTCCACGATATCTTACCAGAAAAAAATAAACCGCAGACTGATTTTCTTGGAACTTTTCTCTTAATCAGAAAGGTATACCAAATTCAAAACATTTGAAACAATTACACAAACGACACGTTTTCAGTTTTAATTTTTTTACTGTAACGAGTGAAAACCTTTATACATGTATCTATAATCTCCAGGGTGACTCAACAGTTTTAAAAGTATACTCTGGTGATTAAGAAACAGGTGTTAAATTTCCAAAAAAGAAAAATCTTCATATTTCATCAAAACACGCATTTGTTGGCCTACCTCAAACAGACACTATATATACTCCACTCACTTGTTAGCATTGCAAATAGTTACAGCCGGAAACTGCAGTTCCTTGGCGAACACCATGGTTATTTTAGTCGTCGTGTCGTATCTGAAGTAGGCGGCAAACCTGAAGTATATCTGCACCACAGCGACAATGAATCCCGCAGTGATCAAAGCGGTCCAGATTGCTTTCGCCACAAGATGGCGACTCTGATAGGCGCGGGCGAAGCCATGCGCAGAAGTGGATGTCGCAAAGGTCTCGATGGAAACATGCGGCTCCTCCTTTGCTTTGTCTTCTTTTTCATTTCTTGTCGAGGTCATTTTAACCTGAATTACGTATAAAATAACCGCCTAAATCTCCAATTCGACTATTACAACTTAACAAAGACGGACGGAAAACCAGTTTCCTTTCACTTTTAAAAAAAAGCCAAGGCCTTTCTTCAAATGGCTTATGTATATTTAATTTATAAGTTGTATTCACACGGTACTAGAGCCGGTACTAGTGGAATTTGTGTGTGATAATACACTGTCACCCTAGCAATAGGTACCAGAATTGTATTTCACTGTTCAAGAAGCCTAGCTAGCGGGATTAGGTTTTAGAAATTTGGAACTAAACAAAATAATCACCAAAGAAAAGTGAAAGACACCTACAGTATTCTAGTTAGACCTTAGATTGCTTTCTCTGCATCAGGTTTTCTTCAGAGTAAGGCCTATCAAGTTACTCAAAAACTCATATGCAGACTTGACATTTAATATGGAATATTTCAATTTCAAAGGTATGCCTATAAGTAAAAATGGGATCATTTTTCAAATGATTTATTTGGGTAGCGCTCATTTTGGCTGGTCAAAGCATGGCATCGCGAAGTATGGTTCTGTCAAAAAAAGTATCCATTTGTTGGCAACTACTACATAGAAGAATATGAAATTGTGCATGCAGGCGGTCGGTTTTGCAGTGCATAAAATGAGTTAAGCATTGTTTTGCAAACTGTTAATCTGTGCCAGAATGACACGAAAAAGACATTTCCAGACAGATTATTACCCCGGTATGTCACACGAAACGGTCCGCACAGTTTTATACAGCTATGTCCAGACTGATGTACCTACAAAGAGGCCACACCCAATGTATCGACATCTTACTACCAGGGTACAGGGCTCACTGTCCTTCCGGATATGCTGCAACTTAACAAAAAACATCCAATTCGTTCAGAATGAGGGGCAAATTGCTACCAGGATGCGTTTTTCAAGGCCCTAACCGAACACCAAATTGGTTTTAGCAGGTTAGCATACCAGGCGACCGCTGAAGAAGCCACTGTAAACAGTAAAACATCGTTGTCTGTTTCCCTAATGGATTGGGGACCATGGCCGCCTGGCTTTATGTATTGAGGTAAGATTTCACCTGTACCGCTCAACAGTCAAAACAAAGTTTGCAGGCATCGTGAAGAGCCTACGACGTCTAAAGTGACTAGGGTCATTCACAGCGTCAGTATTTGGAGTGGATACCACACGGTGCCAAAACACCAATGGTAGTCATCCTGAAACCACCTGAACCACGTCAAATAAAGGAATAATCTGGGAACCACTTGACTATCATTTGATAGTCAACAATTTTAGGTTGCACGATGAGATCGCCAGTTCACACAGAACACTTTTAATAGAAGACAACTTACACAACCAAGGGAATAAGCAGCTACCTTGGTCAGCAAAATCGCCATTTTTGAACCACATAGACAAAATTTGGGTAGATTATTACTCGCCGAATCAACGGCCTACATTTCCTACAACAGAACTGAACCAAATTGGACAAGTTTTGACCGATGTCTGGAACGTCATTCCAGATTTAACTCTAAAAAACCATCCCAAGTATGCATTGCCGCTTGAGCCAGCCAGCTGAGGGCATACGTAACAGGGACCGTTGCTATGATAAGAAACTGACATGAGGGTCCTTTGTGGAGCGTGTAATTCTTTTCCAAATAATAATTTGGAAAATATAGAGTTCCAAAATATCGCTCTTAATAGTTGTCGTATGACTTAGAATAGGCAAAGTATTCTTTTGTTTGCTTCACTGGCAGTAAATTAACTGATGTCACAATGGCATCAAAAAATTATTAAAAGTTATTAAAAAATGATTTTGATCCTTATTTTCATTTATCAGACAGCAAAATAGTAAAAACCTGATGAAAAAGATTTGGAAAAAATATTTCATATGAAATGTCATATCTGTATTAAGTGAGCGTGCATATTACGATATCATTCTAGAGGACTACTGCTTCTGTTACTACTTACTTGATAACCCACTTACTAACTACCAGCTAACTGAATACTTACTAAATGTCTAATTATGTAACTTCCGGTAACAGGCTGAATTGCTAATAAATTAACAAAATATGTATTGGCCTATGTCTATACTTACCTGTGACCAGCGTGGACGGCAAAATAGGAATGATAAAGGTGACTGACACAGGTTTACTGTCCCGCTTAATCAAACAGTTCATTGAATCAGAAAACGAACCAAAGCAAATATAAAGAGAATGACAAGGAACACGTGAAAGTGGTATATTATCACCTGAGCCAGTAGGTCAACTAAAACTGCTTTAAAAGCGTCGTTAAAATCAATAATAGGAAGTATTTTATCCGGGCTTCAGATTGAAAACAGTTGACCCCCCTAAGGAACAAGAACCAAAAACTAGACATGCTTCAAAACGCAATTGCGTTATTGATTCCTGCAGCATTGATTCCTGCAACTGTTTGCAATGTTATTGCGATAACACAGATAGGTTTTTGGTGTTACATAATATCTTTTAAACTTTTTGATTAAATTCAACACCATAAGACCCGTAGGGCGCCAGGTCCACTCCCAAAGCCTCCTGCCACCTTCCGCTTCCTTTGCAACGCTTGTGGTAATGGGACGTATCGACCCTTTTGAAGGGTAACACGTTGTCCGAGTAGTTTTGGTTTGTTTTGTGGTGCTAAATGTTACTGGTCAACTTCGGTAAGATTAAACATTGCACTAAGATACATAAGTATCTCACGTGTACAGTGGATCAATTCACTCCATTTCCTGAATTTGATTTTATTTTCACGACAAAGTGACGTTCGTTCGATGTGTCAGTATCACATTTATGGAAAATTCATGTAGCCAAAATATATTTTCTTTAATATCGATTGGTTTTTCTCGTATCAAGTCTCCTTTATTAAAAAGAACGACAAAGTAGACAGCTTATGTAACGCCTCTGCTGAATATACATATATTTTTATTTTATTCCAACAAAACGATCCCAGAGAGTTTACAATGCATACAGTACATGTACAATGCATACGATATATGTTTACATGTCATATTGTGTGATATATCTACTTCTGAATATCAAAGCCAATGTTTCTAAAACATCCCTTATTGTGTTTATTGTGGAAACGGGGAAAGTTAGCCTGCTGTCGTGAAATAGTAAAATTTCCGGGAAAACCAAACAATGCCCACCATTAAGAAACATTAAGCTGTATCGATTGCCCAACAAAAGTTACGTAAGATGCCAGTCATAACATTAAAGTCGCTGCAGACACCGTATCATGTACAGTTATACATACCCTGCAGATTTTTCTCATGCGCAGCATAAAGTCAAAGGGAATTTTGAATATTACTTGATCCTTTTCTCTAGGAGTAACTGCACATAGCATATGTAGATTATTTAATATTAATGCTCTTAAAATACTATACCAACGATTCAACACATTTAAATACCGTATAAATGCTTTATTGTGCATTGGCTTCAACTTATTGTGCTTTCTCCCAGTTCATCAGAAGCCTCTTACCTTGACTTCAGAGCAACGTCTGAAGAAGTACCGCTGGACGGTTAACATAACTTAATCAACTAACCTACGTGCATGCATTGTAGGTCTACTACTTATACCTTCTAGGAGTATTTTAGTCTTCGACCCTGGGTAGTCTGAAATAGCTAGGTTTGAAGCATAACGCCAAAATTCCCGATTTGATGTCCTCTCTGTGCACATGCTGATTTAAATCATACTTCATCTGAAAGCGCGGGAAGCTCTCGGTCAAAACTAGCCATGATACACATACAGAAATGGCAGGAGATTAGGCCTACTTAAACAATATTTCACAGTTGTAATAATAAGACAAAATTGTTTCCAAACGAAGGATATACTGTTTTTGGGACCATTCCCAGACCCTATCGTACTAACTGTGTATCTCCAAGGGATTCTCGCAAAAGTGCAATCAACTTAAGCGAGTTAAATGTCTGTTACACCTACTGAGGTTGCTGGGGGATATTTATTATTGCAATTTAGCGAGAAACCCCTCAGAGATGGATCTATCCTGTTAGATCGATCTAGGTACGGGAACCCAGTCTATGAGCCGTTTGCTTTTGACTACCAGTACTTTTATTGAATCTCTTGCTATATTTTCTTTCAGTCCCATTGGATGTTCATAGTTTTACAGTTGTTTTAACTTAAGGTCGTGATTTCATTTCTTAACTTTGCTCTCTACCATCACAATGTCAACTTTTGGCTGCCGCTTGGCGGATAAAATCCACGTGTACAAGGTCATCGCCGCAAACTCGATAAATTCGATAATGGTCAGCAGGCTGAAGCCCATAAAGAGTCCAAACTGTCCACCGATGTCACCTTGAACAAAAAGTGGCCATTGCTCTTACCAAATACATTTGAGTTATGTTGTGATTATTATACTTTTAGATGAAATTACAGCGGCTTACCCACAAGAAGGTCCAATATTTTAGATACCTGAGTACTAACTTTGATAACTTTTCTTATAAGAAATTTTCTTTAAAAAGGAAATACAAAAACCAGCACGTCTAATTAAAGGGGCATGCGTAAGCTTAACCTGAGGAGACGTTTTCTGGTCACTTTGTATTATCATCAATGTCTGTGAACGAACGCCAGATGGTAGCACCGTCGCAAGAATGTGTCAATTTGCCCTAACTCCTTTTGTCTAATTTTAATTGCAATTTAGATAACAGTATAACTGACGAATGCCCCTTTTATTTGACTTGTGGCATTTTAATAAAACATACGATAGTTTTGTAAAATGGACACCAGACGATACATATAGGCCTACTCCAGTAGCTTTATGTTGGAACGCCAAGCAAGAATGTGAAATACTCACTTATTAGAGCGGATGGCTCCACGGCTGGTAACTGCTCGCTCTTGATATAGTTCAGGTTTTCCAGGTAAATATCCATAATGACGTAGTTCGCTCTTTTCAAAAGAGATGATATGAATGATAGTTAACATAATTTTTTTCATGAATATATCAAAATTTATGCTAATATTTATAAAATGCGTAGCTAGATGAATTTGTAGTATGGGAGCCATAGAAGATAAAATACATTAAATCTGGGCATATTGTTAACTTTTAAGTTAATTAAAATTAATTAATCGATTGATTAATTGATTAACTTATCAAATAATGAACTGGCCAATAAATGAATATATATGAACACATAAAGTTGCTCTCTATAATTTCATAATATCGTGACCACGTAAATATTTACAAATTGTTGTAGGTTACATAGTTTCAAAAATGCGGCCCCAGTATCACTTACTTGACTTCAGTGGGGGACATACGTAGATTCGTAGCCAGTTCACTTGCTGTACTGTTACTAGGTATTGACGTATACGTCACTGACGTAGCATACGTCACGTCCTCACAAGCGACGGGACAGTCACACATGTTGGAAAATTCCTGCTTAATTTTCACTTGAAAAAAATCATTTTCGTGATTAGGAAAGAGTTCGTTTTATTTCTATCGGTAGGTGTATTTTGCGCATCAGGGACTGCATGAAAATCTATCGTTTTTGTTTGACCTCAACTCACAATAATTAATGAGACGATATTCTTCCTCACAAGACACATTCAACAGCAATTATTTTTTGATCTGTAAGAAAGCAAAGCTACTACCACTGTATTAGTTTACAGGCATTAAATTGTAAAAGAGATATAGGCATTAAAATTTATAAGAGATAAAACATCTTATACATATTTTAGTTCGAAGGTCCGGTTGTTTTACATATAAATGATTCCATAAAAAGTAATAAATTGTTTTAATCTCACCTAATAGTGGTTTGGCGCATGTCGTAACCTCCATCAGCGAACATTCCCTTCCTCTTCCTGAGATGTATAAAATGATTTATTATATTTTATGTAGTTTTTGTAGAATACATCGATGAAAACAAGGTAACGCATTGTGAAAAATGAATTGGAACAACTATTGGAATGAATATCAACGACGCCTGAATTATCTTTTCAATTCTAAAAGGTTTTAAAAGTAAAAGTAATAAGTAAATAGACGGACGGTCAGGAAAACACACATACACACGGACAGACAGAACAAACAGACGAATAGCTACTTAAACAGAGAGAGAGAGAGAGAGAGAGAGAGAGAGAAGAAAATACTCCGATAAAATTGAACTTATTTAACAGTATAATTTACGGAGGGGAGAGAAATTAACAACAAAACAAACAAAACGATACTGTACAATAATAATGACATTACCCTCGTATTCAAAGAGTTCGCATCCACACTCTCTCAGCATGTGTTGCTCTTTACACTCCAGCACACAGGCGGCCACGGAATAGTCCGGAAAATTGACCAGTTCTGCCGACTTGTTACACAGACCGTATGGTGGGTCTATCGAATACGACTAGAAAACGATTAAAAAAAAAAATAGTGCTGAGATGGTCAAAAGTCAGTAGTTTTAAAATAATAATAATAGTTTATTAGGTAAAATTGCAACCCTAAGGTTGAAGTTGTACAAAGAATGTTTAAAAGAAAATTGACACTAAACTTTAAATTATAAACCAATAAAGAGACTGCGTCCCCTTAGCCTTATCACACTAGCAGGACCGATTTATCTCAGCGGGGATTCTTGCTCAGCCAGAGTCAATGTAATCAGCTCAATTGTCGGACACGCCCCCTTGCAAAGCAAAATAAAGAACATCATGGACCACTAAGTTTTCCCAACTTCACCAAATTACTTTAAGTTTTAAAGCCGCTTAAACTGAATGCAATTTAGCGAGAATTCCCGGGGGTTACATCAATACAGCCAGTAAGATAGGGTATGGAAACGTTCCCCAAAGGTACTTTTACATGCAGCTAAGTCGGCTAAGATTTCAGCTTGCAAACTATCATACACTGTACGTCTTTTTGTGAAACAGGAGTTGGTTTTAAAGGTGGACATAATTAAGCTTGTGTCTAAATAACTGCTAAAAAAGTGGATCCACGTGCACAGCAATGACTCACGTCTGTCCTGGTAAGCCCAACGTAGGCGTGGAAACCTGGCGGAACTGCTCTTCCGTCCGTCTCGACAGAGGGCGGCACAGATTGGTTGTGCACGTGGAAAAAAATCCCAGCATCCACCTGGTCGCCTAGTTGCAGGCGGTTGCTATAGTATTGCTGAAATGGATGCAGGAAAATTAAGCAAATTATCTGAGAAGGTCCTTTTGGTCAATAATCCAAGGAAAATTTGGAAAAAAAATGAAAAAAATCCAGCCGGAATTTAAATATAAAGACGAATATTTTCTTAATTTTTAACAATCTGCATTTCACTAAAGCAAAATTCATGAAATATAGTTTACATTAAATTTATAATCTCAAATGTTCATCTCCCAGTTTGGATTCAATCACATATAATCTTTTCTCTTACCTGTTCAATATTTATTTCGAGACTGAGTCCGTTTTTGGCGCCAGGTTGATCTTGGAAAGCGTCGTTGTTAGCATTAAAAGTGAAGCAGTTCCCGAATGCTGTAAAAACGTGGTTGAAATCCTGGAAGGACATTTGGTAGCTATGTAGAAAGTATTGCTGTTTCATACCACCCAAAATTTCACTATACAGCCATCACTCACACCATCACCATCATCACCATTACCATCACCATCATCATTATCATCACCATTATCATCATCATCATCACCACCATCATCATCACCACCAACATAATAATGATAATAATAATTAATGATAAAAAATAATAATTGGACGGATGGCAGTGTAATTACATGTACCAACACAAACTCTGAGATAACTGCAATCAACGTAATAATAATAATAATAATAAAAATAAATAATGATAATAAAAATAATAATTGGACGGATGGCCATGTAATTACATGTACCAACACAAACTGTGAGACAACTGCAATCAACGTAATATTAATAATAATAATAATAATAATAATAATAATAATAATAATTAATTAATTAACAAAGCCATACTTGAAGAGGCCAAGTCCAAAAGGAAGAACTTGTCAACAGCATGGATCGACTACAAGAAGGCATTTGACAGCGTGCCTCACACTTGGAAAGAGAAGAGCCTACAGATCTACAGAGTCTGTCCCACCACCATCCGATTCATTGTACAGAGCATGAAGAACTGGAAAACCACCTTAAATCTCCACCACGCAAATGGTTCACTAACATCTAGACCAATCAACATCAACAGCGGGATCTTCCAAGGAGATTCACTCTCACCACTGCTCTTCTGCCTGGCATTAGCGCCCCTCAGCACCATGCTCAATAGATCCAGCTATGGGTACGAATCACAGAACGGCAAAGTTAACCACCTCTTCTACATGGCTGACCTGAAGACCTTTGCCAGAGATGATGGCCAACAGACAGGCCTACTCACCATCGTCAAGGCCTTCAGTGATGACATCAAGATGGAGTTTGGACTCGACAAATGTGCAAAAGCCACCTTCAAGAGATGATGGCTAACTAAAACCACCAATATCAACCTTGACATCAACACCGTCATCAAGGAAATAAAACAAGAAGGCACATACAAGTACCTAGGAGTGAACGAGGGAGACGGCATCCAACACGCCGCCATGAAGGAAAAGGTCAGGAAAGAGTACTTCAGGAGAGTGAGAATGGTACTGCAGAGCGAACTCAACGCGGCCAACCGATTTGAGGCTATCAACACCCTAGCCATACCTGTACTGACATACAGCTTTAACATCATCAACTGGAAAATGAGCGACATCAGAAGACTAGACACCAAGACCAGGAAGATGCTGACCATGGAAAAGATGCACCACCCAAAAGCTGATGTTGACAGGCTGTACCTTCTGTGATGTAATGATGTAATAAGCCACGTGATGTAGGTCACAGGTCATGAGTGTGAAGCGGGAAGTGGGGATGCGACGTGGCATGTGATACATGGACTTTTAATTCAGTAATAAATATTTTAATCTTTTATATAAATTGTTGTTACAATACCATATCTGGCGACAAGGATGCAGCAGTCTCACAAGAGAGGAAAGTAACAAGTAAGAATATATATAAACATTGACTATAGCGTAATTGAATGAACGCAGTGTAACTCGTTGAACAGTCACAATGGCGAGCCCATCTATACAGATACCCACTTATCATGAATTTGACTGTAAGTCAGAAGGCGTTGCCATTAGATGGAGAAAATGGATAAACAGATTGAAAAACAATGTATTTGTTGGTTATGGTATAACAAGTCCGAAAAAGAAGAAGGCTCTCATGCTATCTTTCGCCGGCGACGAGTTAAATGACATCGTCGAATCTTTCAGCACATTTCAACTAACCCCCGGAGAAGGAGAAGACGAGTTTACGAAATGTGTTGATGCAATCACTGACTATTTTTCACCTTCCATCAATGTTGAATTGAATAAATTTTCATTTCGACACGCTACGCAGAAAGGAGAGGACATTGACGAATTTTATAGAGAGCTTCAAGATATTGGTAAACTGTGCAGTTTTCATGACTTGGAATCAGAGATAAAATCACAATTGATTATGGGATGTAAATCTCAGAAAGTCCGACAGAAGGGCTTGAGTAACCCGTCCATGACATTATCACAACTTTTGCAGTATGCGCGTACAGAACAACTTGTCACTTCACATACACAACGCATGGATGAACCCGCGGTTAACAGGGTGCAAGTCAGGAGTTCGACAGGTAGTCAAGCATTTTCACAATGCCGTAATTGTGGAGGAGAATGGCCACATGTGGGTGGACGGTCGAAGTGTCCGGCCTACAACAAGGAATGTTTCACTTGTAAACGACTTCATCATTTCGCATCGATGTGCAGATCGGGTCAGCAACCATCATCTTCAGCTACATCTAACAAGCGCTACGCCGTAAAACTTAAACGCTCGCCTCATCGCCGTCAGAACAATGTGAATTGTCTACGTGGAAATTCTGATGTGACTGAAAATGAGAACGAATGCACAGGATCTGATGAGGATGGATATGTCTTCGCAGCGCATGCAGTGACCGAGAACATGGACCAACTCCCACATTTTGAAATAGAGATGAACGGTAGGAAAATAATTTTTCTAGCTGATTCAGGCTCTACTGTAAATTTGATTTCTGAATTTGAGTACAATAAATTACAACCAAGACCAACGTTACATGTTTCAAGTACTAAGATCAAGGCCTATGGCAGTGAAAACAATTCAGTTCATGTGTTGGGAAAATTCACGTCTCACTTACAGATTGGAGCAATTAGCTGTGACGCAGAGTTTTGTGTGGTAGCTGGCAGAGAGAAACCTATTCTCAGTTGGCATACGTCTCAACAATTGCAATTAATAAAAAGTTGTGATCACATTCATTCCAAGCATATCAAATTGAACGATGAATTTTCTGATATTTTCCATGGCCTTGGTTGTTTGAAGCAAGGTGAGATAAAACTTCACATCGACGACAACATTCAACCCGTAGCACAGCGTTATAGACGCATTCCGTTCCACGTCAGGAAACACATAGAGGAACAGATTAAAAAGGATGAGGAACAGGGTGTCATAGAGAAAGCTACAGGTCCTACGCCCTGGGTGTCTCCCATTGTAGTTGTTCCCAAACCGAAATCACCTGGTAAAGTACGAGTCTGTGTAGATATGCGTGCAGCAAACAAGGCGATTAGAAGAGAAAGACATGCAACACCGACGCTTGATGAATTAAAAACAATGTTGACTGGCGCTTGCTATTTTTCGAAACTTGATCTTAATCAAGGGTACAATCAACTTGAATTACACGAAGATTCTCGTTATATCACTACATTTGCCACTCATCTTGGCCTCTACAGATACCGTCGATTATTTTTTGGAGTGAATTCAGCAAGTGAAATATTCCAGGAAAGCATTAGACAAGCTTTGTCTGGTTTGAAAGGAGTCGTGAACATCAGTGATGACATTTTGTGTTACGGGGCATCGCAATCTGACCACGACAACAACCTACGTGCTCTTTTTCAACGTTTGCGCGAAAGAAATCTAACACTCAACGCAGAGAAATGTGAATTCAATCAAACATCATTAGAATTTTTAGGGCACGTTTTTGGCGCGGAGGGTATTAAACCAAGCCACAGCAAAATTGAAAACATATTAAATCTCCCCAATCCAACCAACGCTACAGAAGTCAGGAGTTTCTTAGGAATGACGAATTTCTGTGGGTCGCAATTCATTCCAAATTACGCGTCATTAACACATGATTTACGTGAGCTGACAAAGAAAAACACACCATGGTCTTGGACATCTAAACACGATGATGCTGTGAAGGAACTCAAGTCAAAGTTAAGCCAAGCAACGACTTTAGCGTACTTCAACCCGTCGAAAACCTCGGAGGTATACACAGATGCGAGTCCGGTAGGCATATCTGCTGTATTAACACAGGACGGCCGCGTCATACAGTACGCCAGCAGAGCGCTTACTCCTACAGAACAGCGATACTCACAGACCGAGCGAGAGGCTTTAGCAATCACATGGGCCTGTGGACATTTTCACATTTATTTATTCGGAGCCCATTTTATTGTGCACACTGACCACAAACCCCTTGTGAGCCTCTTTAACAACCCCAAGGCCCAGCTTTCGGCGCGTATCGAGCGTTGGATCATGAAAACACAATCCTACCAGATGACGGTTGTGTATCGTCCAGGGCATGACAACCCTGCTGATTACTTGAGCCGACACCCCACGCATCAGACTGATCAGTTATCATCAAGTACAGAGGAAACAATAGCAGAGGAGTATCTTCATTATCTAGCCTGTACTTCGAAACCAAAAGCAATGACCCTTGAAATGGTGAAAGAGGAAACCGAAAAGGATGTGACACTTGCAGCGGTGAAAAATGCTATGGTCACAAATGACTGGACTCCACAAGGAAATTTCAGTATTTTCCAAAACATTTATCAGTGTCGTTCGGAGCTTTCTATATCAAACCCTGATGGAATAATTCTGAAAGGACGACAAATAGTCTTGCCGGAAAGTTAATATAGCCATGCCGTGAGTATTCACATAGCGGACATCAAGGGATTGTGAAAACTGTTGCTTTACTACGTGAGAAGGTGTGGTTTCCTAGAATGCATAAACTTGTCGAAGACACAGTGAAAACGTGTAAACACTGTCAAATTTCAACGAAGATAATCACGCGAGAACCGCTTCGCATGACAGATCTTCCAATCGCTCCTTGGACAGAACTTAGTGCTGATTTTGGAGAAGGACCGAGTGGTCACAAACTTTTAGTGATAACTGATGAATACACACGATACGTCATTGTTGAAATTTTGACCTCGACTTCAGCACAGAGTGTTATCCCACGGTTGGATAAAGTATTTGCGGAGTTCGGCATACCATCGATATTAAAAACGGATAATGGGCCCCCATTCAATGGAAATGACTTTGCAGATTATGCCGAGAAAACAGGATTTAAACACCGAAAAATAACACCACTGTGGCCTCAGGCAAATGGATTAACAGAGCGTTTTATGGGCCCTTTAAAAAAGTCTATCAAGGGCGCCATCGCAACGAAGCGC